ACTCCCCAGCACGCTTACATGCTTCAGTAAGTTCATCAACGGTGGGGCCAACATCTATACTAACGCCAAGCTTCTCCCAGAAATATTTCCTCTCAGGAGTAACTTCTGCTTCCTCCAGTTCCTCAACATCCTCGCAGTTGAGACCGGTGAGTTGTTCAAACTCATTGAGTGAAAACCGAAGTGGGGTTGCATTTATGAGACTCCATATTTCATACTTCTTCTTGCAGTCCAGCTGAAAACCGAGTATAAACTGCACCACCCTCGACGCCCAGCCAAAATTCAGTTTGTAAAACTTTAGAAAAACACCAAGCCTTGATTCCAAAAGCTCTTCCCATATATCTGCTTCCAGTACTGCTTCCAATGCAGGAAACAACTTCCTACTGTTGCTGTAGTAGGCTATACTTTTCCCAGGTTGGGGCTCCTCGTTCTTTGTGAATAATCTCCTTGGAAACTTTGGCTGCTTCTCCATCCTGCTGGTTTATGGCTCTTCTTTATAATTTTAGGTTTTGAATTTAGGAAACGCCTGCCAAAAAGTCTTGGGTTTGGCTCTTCTTTATTGGTTTATGATCGAGATTTAGGAGCACCTTCTAAGTATTATTTGTCAACTCTCAAAAATGTGTTGTTAGATTTGGTTTTCGTGTGATTTTCGATTTGTGTTTCTTACAATCACTGACATATTTCGTTTCTTTTCTTTTAGCAGTTGAAAATAAACCTCACACTTCCTAAACTCAAATACGAGATGGGGAAGGAACCTGTGAATGGATTCAAGGCCATAGACAAGTACTCGGACTTCCAATGCATCGCCCAAGTGAAGGAGATACCCGGCCTGAGCCGTTTAAGAGAATCAATGACTCTTTCTTGGGTCCAGTTTTGCAGTTCTGTTCAAGGAATCTCTCTATGTCAGGGAAGATGATCCACACCATTCTGACAGAGAGCCTGGTAACCAAGAAAGACAAGGAGCTCTGGTTTCATTTTGGTGGACATCCTATGAGATTCTATATAAGAGAATTTCTTATGGTCACATGGCTGATTTGCACAGAATCGTTGCCTGATGTTGAGGAAGAGGCAAATAACTATGAGTGGGCTGGATGGGAGGATGGGCATTTACCTGACAAGCTAATAGAACTCATGATCGAAGCCGGAGAAGATGCTCATGATGAGAGGTTTTCTTTGGCTATGTTACTGCTCATCGAGACAATTTTTCTGCATAGGTATTCGAAGGCTATGTTTCCCACATCTAATTTACAGAAAGAACAACACATGGATGTATTGCTGAATCATCATTGGGGGATAGATGCCTACGAAATGCTGTTAAAATCAGTGAAGAAGGCTGTGGAGAACAGTCTAAAAAAGGCCAAGTACCCTCTGGACGGGTTCCCTGTTGCGTTTCACCTATGGATCTTAAAATCCGTACCCAAGCTGCAGTCGGCTTTCCCTTAGATTGACAACACAGTCCCGCCCACAGATTTTTGTGTGTGAAATACCTTCACACAACATCTCCTCCCATCAAAGCTGTTTTGAGCATAGAAGGCGAAAGCGATGTAAGTGCCTTCTTTTACTTCTCTGATTATCTTGGATGGTTTTCGCAGTGTTTGGAAGGTGTGTCATTAGTTTAAGAATGCTTTCCTGACAAACATCACCGAATGACGTGTGTTTTTTGACTGTGCAGGTGAGTGTGGTACACATTCTTCCAAAAATATATGGTGACCTCGAAGACACCGTGTTTTTGCAAGACAAAGACGATGAAGATCTGCATTTGCTTGTGGATCTGTTGGAGAAAGGTGTCAGGCGGACACATGATCACTGAAAAAGAAAGATTGTGAAGAGAGACGATGAATTGCAATACATTTCATCGCAGTCATATCGCTATCCCCATTCAGAAAGAGCGAGACAAAACTCAAGACCTTCTTCTTTAGACAAGTCAGTAGAGGCGAAGCTTGACCAGCTCATGAAGATATTCGAAGATGGACAGACATATCCGTTCTCGATTATCAAAGATTGAGAAAAAACTTGGCATATATGATCCTTCAAATTCCATTGATGAGGTATTGAAAATATATATATATATATATATATATATATATATATATATGTTTATTAGTGATTGTTCTTTAATAAATTTTCTAACATCACGAAGTTATCTGTTTTTTTGTTGAAGGAGGATATATCTGATGACGGAGATTCTGACGTCTCGACTCCTGTGCACGGTGAAACTGGTATAGACCCAGTGGAGGTAAGACCTTTAAGAACAAAGATTGTCAATGGAAGTGGTGTGGTTGAAACAACCAAAGAAACTGATAAGGTATAGAAACAATTTTTTGCCATCTACATTTGCTAAAACATTTTGGGACTAATATGCTATCATCTATTGTTTTGAAGATGAACGATGATGAGACAACTGAGAGTAGCAAATAACAGGAGATACCCCAAACACGGATGGAAAAGGATAAGGGGACCCAACCACTGGAGGAGCAACAAACTATTAGCTATTCTTGTTTCTTTTGAATTTTAATATTTCAGTAAGGTCTTCCTGAACATCTATTAAACGTTCCTAACAAAAGATGCTGGACTTCCAGGTACAAACCCCGCATGTGACTACATCCACAGAGACGGTTGCAGACGTTGAACCCACAGAGATGGACAATGATGATGGGAGCCAAAAAAGGATCAAACTACAGTAAGAAATCATGATTTTTTGCGTTTTGATATTTTAGTAAGGTCTTCCTGAACATCTGTTAAACGTTCCTAACACATTGGACGTCCAGGTGGTTTCCACACTTGTCGTTCCTAGCGCTGCTCCGGTAAAGGGGATTACAGGCACGAGTCCTAAAACTTACTTGACGGAAGATTCTTTAGTCGAAGTATCGGGTGAAGATAACAGGTGGTTCCCTGATTCCTTGATAAATAGACAGCTAGGTCTAGGTCCTATCCACAGCTATTATTTGAGGTACTTGAGCATTGATAAATATGAGAATGTCCAAGAGATGCGGATCCGTCCTACAGCGCCTACGCTGCTTCAGGAAGAACGTGTCGCTGACGTTTTAAAGCTCGGGTAACTCGTTCAGGTTTACTACAATGACCACTAGTGCAGAGGGTTTGTGGAAGCGCTTACCGAGGGTAAAGAGGTTTTTATCCACCATTATAATATCGACAAAACACATCTGGTCGACGTTAAGGACATAAGGATTTCTAGACAATGGGCGAACGAGGTGTGGACTCCACCTGTGGATGTGGATATCCAGGTACATCGTTTTTACTGTGATAAAACCCTGTATTCTTAAAAACAATACAAAATGTTTAACTAAGTTGTTTAAATATTGCAGGAAAACGCAGAGACGTTTTCTTCGCCCACTACAGTAGAAAACATTGTGACCGTAAAAATCCTTTCCTAAACTATTTTTCACCAAGATTTTTTGTATATAATTAGTGAAAAACTTTCACATGCCCCATTTTTACAAATGCATGTCTTCTTATCAAAGGTGAAACCAAAGAAGGAGAAAGTGGAGAAGGCAAAATCCAAGGAGGAGAAAGGGAAGAAGGAGAAAGCGAAGAAAAAGAAAGCAAAGAAAGAGCAGAATGAAGACTTAGAGAAAGCATCTTTAAGAAGGAGCAAATGGTTCAAACAAACGGATATGTGATATGCAAATTTTGAACAAAAATAGAATGAATTCTCTTGTTGGTGTTAGTTGCCATTTGTTAGAATGGTTAGTGGTTTTAACAGTGTTATTGGATGTGTTCGTTTGCAAACATGGATATTAATACATGATATGTATCTTTGGTTTTTAATTAATGTTGCTTTTGGTTTAGGAATCAATGGTCTTTCATTCATTGCAAAAATTGTTTTCTGGAATTAGTTGTACTTATTTTGACCTTGTCTTTCATTCATAGAAAATTTGCTTTTCAAGACAAAGTGCAGTTATGTAATTTCATGGTTCGTAAATTATAACTAAGGAAAACAAAAATGTTTAGGAAGCCTTCCTAAATGATCTTGAGAAAGAAAAAATGGTTTAAGAAGTCTTCATAAATGAATATTCAAAAAAGAAAAAATGGTTTAGGAAGCTTACATAAATGAACTTGGGAAAGCGTAAATGATTTAGAAGGGCTTTCTAAATGAATATTCAAAAAAAAAGGGTTTATGAAGCCTTTCTAGATGAAAATTGGGAAATAGAAAATGAACTTGGGAAAGAGTAAATGATTTAGGAAGGCTTCCTAAAATGAAACTTGGAAAGAGAAAATGAATATTTAAAAATGTTTTGATATTTATTTAAAATATTTTTAAAGTTTAGGACTGTAATCCTAAATTCCAAAAACAATGTAAGGTTTCTTCATCCCTCAATATTTAGGAATCTATTGCAACATTTTCGGAAGGATTTCCTAAACCATCAAACAAAAAACGATTAAGGCAAAATTGGAGTCCATGGTAGTATCAAACTGGAGACACATCTGTTTATTTGAATAGGCAGTAACCGCTGTGGCCGAATCGTTGTAGTTGTCCAACATTTCGAAGTTATATATTTATATTTTAACAAGTTTATAACAATTATTTACTTTTGGGAACCCTTCCTCATCGGCGACATCGAAGGTGATTTCCCATATAAAAACCTATTTTACAGCGGCAACGGCGATTTCCAGTGAAAACCTAAATGTTCAGCAGCGGTGCATCGGCGAAGAAGACATCAGCGACAGAGAAGGCGACAACTAAGATTCTGTAAGAAACTCCTGCCCGAAAACTTCTCTCATCTCGACGACACATAAAAATCGATCTCTTTTGATCACGATTTACCACTTTTGAGTGATTTAGGATAGGCTTTAGTTTCTATTGTGAGGTTTGTTTATAGATTTGTGTAGAGGGAAACTTCAATTTCGACTTATGAAGGGTAGTCCTAAGATTCAAATTCCAGAAAACAAATTCTATCTGTGTAGTGTTTCAAATTGTCAACAATTCTTGAGATTTGTTTCCTTACGTGATCTTACGATGTTTTAAACAACTTAAAAAGTGAATGAAAGTGAATGGCAAACAAAAATTAATGTTCTCTTCACGTCTATGTGTTATTCTTCAACCCTCAATGTCTTGTTACTATTTGTTTATCGCTCTTCTTTATAATTTTAGGATTTGGATTTAGGGAACGTCTATGTTTGGCTCTTCTTTATTGGTTTATGATCGAGAATTTAGGAGCACCTTCTAAGAGTTATTTAAAAAATGTGTTGATAGATTTAGTTTTTGTGCGATTTTCGATCTGTGTTTCTTACATTCACTGACATTTTTCGTTTCTTTTCTTTTAGCAGTTAAAAATGGACATCACACTTCCTAAACTCAAATACAAGATGGGGAAGGAACCAGTGAGTGGGTTCAAGGTCATAGACAAGTACTCGGATTTCAAGTACATCGACAAAGTGAAGGAGATACTCGGGCCTGAGCAGTTTAAGAGAATCGAGGATTCTTTCTTGGGTCCAGTTTTGCAGTTCTGTTCACAAAATCTCTATATGTCAGGGAAGATGATCTACACCATTCTGACCAAGAGCCTGGTAACCAAGAAAGACAAGGAGCTATGGTTTCATTTTGGTGGACATCCTATGAGATTCTCTATAATAGAATTTCTTATGGTCACAGGGCTGAAATGCACAGAATGGTTGCTTGATGTTGAGGAAGAGGCAAACAACTATGAGTGGGCTGGATGGGAGGATGGGCATTTACCTGACAAGCTAATAGAACTCATGATCGAAGCCGGAGAAGATGCTCATGATGAGAGGTTTTCTTTGGCTATGTTACAGCTCATCGAGACAATTTTTCTGCATAGGTATTCGAAGGCTATGTTTCCCACATCTAATTTACAGACCGAGCAACACATGGATGTATTGCTGAATCATCATAGGGGGATAGATGCCTACGAAATGCTGTTAAAATCAGTGAAGAAGGCTGTGGAGAACAGTCTAGAAAAGGCCACTTATAGACGGGTTCCTTGTTGCGCTTCACCTATAGATCTTGGAATCCGTACACAAGCTGCAATCGGCTTTCTCTAAGATTGACAACACAGTCCCGCCCACAGCTTTTTGTGTGTGAAATACCTTCACACAACATCTCCTCCCATCAAAGCTGTTTTGAGCATAGAAGGCGAAAGCGATGTAAGTGCCTTCTTTTACTTCTCTGATTATCTAGGATGGTGTTTGACAGTGTTTAGAAGCTGTATCATTAGTTTAAGAAGGCTTTCCTGACGAACATCGCTGAATGACGTGTGTTTTTTAACTGTGCAGGTGAGTGTGTTACACATCCTTCCAAAAATGCATGGTGACCTCGAAGACACCGTGATTTTGCAAGACAAAGACAATGAAGATCTGCATTTGCTTGTGGATCTGTTGGAGAAAGGTTTCAGGCTGACACATGATCATTGGAAAAGAAAGATTGTGAAGAGAGACGATGCATTGCAATACATTTCATCGCAGTCATATCTCTATCCCCATTCAAAAAGAGCGAGACAAAACTCAAGACCTTCTCCTTCAGACGAGTCAGTAGAGGCGAAGCTTGACCAGCTCATGAAGATATTCAAAGATAGACAGAGACATATCCGTTTTTGATTATCAAATATCGAGCAAAAGCTTGGCATATATGATCCTTCAAATTCCATTGATGAGGTAATGAATATATATATATATATATATATATATGTGTTTATTAGGGATTGTTTTTTAATAAATTGTCTAACATCACGCTGTTATCTGTTTTTGGTTGAAGGAGGATATATCTGATGATGGAGATTCTGACGTCTCGACTCCTGTGCACGGTGAAACTGGTATAGACCCAATGGAGGTAGGACTTTTAAGAACAAAGACTGTCAATGGAAGTGGTGTGGTTGAAACAACCAAAGATACTGGTAAGGTATGGAAACAATTTTTTGCCATATACTTTTGCTAAAACATTTCGGGACTAATATGCTATCATCTATTGTTTTGCAGATGGACGTTGATGAGACAACTGAGAGTAGCAAAGAAGAGGAGATACCCCAAAAACATAAAGAAAAGGATAAAGGGACCCAACCACTGGAGGAGCAACAAACTGTTAGCTATTCTTGTTTCTTTTGAATTTTAATATTTCAGTAAGGTCTTCCTGAACATCTATTAAACGTTCCTAACAAAAGATGTTGGACTTCCAGATACAAACCCCGCCTGTGACTACATCCACAGAGACGGTTGCAGGCATTGAACCCACAGAGATGGACAATGATGATGGAAGCCAAAAAAAGGATCAAACTACAGTGAGAAATCATGATTTTTTGCGTTTTTATATTTTAGAAAGGTCTTCATAGTCATCTGTTAAACCTTCCTAACACAAAATATTGGACTTTCAGGTACAAACCCCGCATGTGGCTACATCCACAGAGACTGTTGCAGGCACGGAACAAACAGAGATGGACAATGATGATGGGAGCCAAACAAAGGATCAGACTACATTAAGAAAATCCGGATTCTTTTGCATTTTGATATTTTAGTAAGGTCTTCCGGAACATCTGTTAAACGTTCCTAACACAAAATGTTGGACGTCCAGGTGGTTTCCACACTTGTCGTTCCTAGCGCTGCTCCTGTAAAGGGGATTACAGGCACGAGTCCTAAAACTTACTTGACAGAAGGTTTTTTAGTCAAAGTATCGGGTGAAGATAATAGGTGGTTCTCTGCATCGTTGATAAATAGACAGCCATGTCTAAGTCCTATCCGCAGCTATTATTTGGGGTACTTGAGCATTGATAAGTATGAGAATGTCCAAGAGATGCGGACCCGTCCTACAGCGCCTCAGCTGCTTCAGGAAGAACGTGTCGCTGACGTTTTAGAGCTCGGGCAACTCGTTCAGGTTTACTACAATGACCACTGGTGCACAGGGTGTGTGGAAGCGCTTACCGAGGGTACATAGGTTTCTATCCACCTTTATGATATCGACAAAACACATATGGTCGACGTTAAGGACATAAGTATTTTTAGACAATGAGCGAACGAGGTGTGGGTTCCACCTGTGGATGTGGATATCCAGGTACATCGTTTTTACTGTGATAAAACCATGTATTCTTTAAAATAATACAAAAAGTTTAACTAAGTTGTTTAAATATTGCAGGAAAACGCAGAGACATCTGCTTCGCCCACCACAGTAGAAAACATTGTGAACGTAAAAATCATTTCCTAAACTATTTTTCACCAAGCTTTTTGTATATAATTAGTGAAAAACTTTCACATGCCCCATTTTTACAAAAGCATGTCTTCTAATCAAAGGTGAAACCAAAGAAGGAGAAAGTGGAGAAGGCGAAATCCAAGGAGGAGAAAGGGAAGAAGGAGAAAGCGAAGAAAGAGCAGAATGACCACTTAGAGAAAGCATCTTTAAGAAGGAGCAAACGGTTCAAACAAACGGATATGTGATATGCAAATTTTGAACAAAAGAGAATGAATTCTCTTAGTTGGTGTTAGTTGCCATTTGTTAGAATGGTTAGTGGTTTTAACGGTGTTATTGGATGTATTTGTTTGCAAACATGGATATTAATACATGATATGTATCTTTGGTTTTTAATTAATGTCGCTTTTGGTTTAGGAATCAATTGTCTTTCACTCATTGCAAAAATTGTTTTCTGGAATTAGTTGTACTTATTTTGACCTTGTCTTTCATTCATAGAAAATTTGGTTTTCAAGATAAAGTGCAGTTATGTAATTTCATGGTTCGTAAATTATAACTAGGGAAAACAAAATTGTTTAGAAAGCCTTCCTAAATGATCTTGGGAAAGAGAAAATGGTTTAAGAAATCTTCCTAAATGAATATTCAAAAAAGAAAAAATGGTTTACGAAGCTTACCTAAATGAACTTGGGAAAGCGTAAATGATTTAGAAAGACTTCCTAAATGAATATTCAAAAAAAAAAAAGGGTTTATGAAGCCTTTCTAAATGAAAATTTGGAAATAGAAAATGAACTTGGGAAAGAGTAAATGATTTAGGAAGGCTTCCTCAAATGAAACTTGGAAAGAGAAAATGAATATTTAAAAATGTTTTTATATTTATTTGAAATATTTTTAAAGTTTAGGACTGCAATCCTAAATTCCAAAAACAATGTAGGGTTTCTTCATCCCTCGATATTTAGGTATCTATTGCAACATTTTCGGAAGGATTTCCTAACCATAAAACAAAAAACGATTAAGGCAAAATTGGAGTCCATGGTAGTATTGAACTGGAGACACGTCTGTTTATTTGAATAGGCAGTAACCGATGTGGCCGAATCGTTGTAGTTGTCCAACATTTCGAAGTTATATATTTATATTTCAACAAGTTTATAACAATTATTTACTTTTGGAAACCCTTCCTCATCGGCGACATCAAAGGCGATTTCCCATATAAAAACCTAATTTACAGCGGCAACGGCGATTTCAAGTGAAAACCCAGATTTTCAGCGGCGGTGCATCAGCGAAGAAGACATCAGCGACAGAGAAGGCGACAACTAAGATTATGTAAGAAACTCCTGCCCGAAAACTTCTCTCATCTCGACGACTCGTAAAAATCGATCTCTTTCGATCACGATTTTGAGAGATTTAGGATAGGCTTTAGTTTCTATTGTGAGGTTTGTTTATAGATTTGTGTAGAGGAAAATTTCAATTTCGACTTATAATGGGTCGTCCTAGGATTCAAATTCCAGAAAACAAATTCTGTTTGTGTAGTGTTTCAAATTGTCAACAATTCTTGAGATTTGTTTCCTTACGTGATCTTATGATGTTTTAAACAACCTAAAAAGTGAATGAAAGTGAATGGCAAACAAAATTTTGATGTTCTCTTCACGTCTATGTGTTATCCTTCAACCCGCAATGTCTTGTTACCGTTTGTTTATCGCTCTTCTTTATAATTTTAGGATTTGGATCTAGGAAACGTCTGTGTTTGGCTCTTCTTTATTGGTTTATGATCGAGAATTTAGGAGCACCTTCTAAGTGTTATTTAAAAAATGTGTTGATAGATTTAGTTTTTGTGCGATTTTTGATCTGTGTTTCTTACATTCATTGACATTTTTCGTTTCTTTTCTTTTAGCAGTTAAAAATGGACATCACACTTCCTAACCTCAAATACGAGATGGGGAAGGAACCAGTTAGTGGGTTCAAGGTCATAGACAAGTACTCGGATTTCAAGTACATCGACAAAGTGAAGGAGATACTCGGGCCTGAGCAGTTTAAAAGAATCGAGGATTCTTTCTTGGGTCCAGTTTTGCAGTTCTGTTCACGAAATCTCTATATGTCAGGGAAGATGGTCTACACTATTCTGGCCAAGAGCCTGGTAACCAAGAAAGACAAGGAGCTCTGGTTTCATTTTGGTGGACATCCTATGAGATTCTCTATAAGAGAATTTCATATGGTCACTGGGCTGAAATGCACAGAATAGTTGCCTGATTTTGAGGAAGAGGCAAACAACTATGAATGGACTGGATGTGAGGATGGGCATTCACCTGACGAGCTAATAGAACTCATGATCCAACCGGGTGAAGATGCTCATGATGAGAGGTTTTCATTGGCTATGTTGCTGCTCATCGAGACAATTTTTCTTCATAGGTATTCGAAGGCAAGGTTCCCAACATTAAATTTACAGAAAGCACAACACATGGATGTATTGCTGAATCATCATTTGGGGATAGATGCCTACGAATTGCTGTTAAAATCAGTGAAGAAGACTATGGATAACAGTCTAGAAAAGGCCAAATACCCTCTGGACGGGTTCCCTGTTTCGCTTTACCTATGGATCTTGGAATCCGTACCCAAACTGCAATCGGCTTTCTCTATGATCTACAACACAGTCCCGCCGACAACTTTTTGTGTGTGAAATATCTTCACACAACATCTCCTCCCATCAAATCTGTTTTGATTATAGAAGGCGAAAGCGATGTAATTGCCTTCCTTTACTTCTCTGATTATCAAGGATGGTGTTAAGGAAAGCTTTCCGAACAAACATCGCTGAATGACATGTGTTTTTTGATTGTGCAGGTGAGTGTTGTACACATCCTTCTAAAAATACATGGTGACCTCGAAGACACCGTGTTTTTGCAAGACAAAGACGATGAAGATCTGCATTCGCTTGTGGATCTGTTGGAGAAAAGTTTCAAGCTGATACATGATCACTGGAAAAAAAAGATTGTGAAGAGAGACGTGCATTACAATACATTGCATCACAGTCATATCGCTATCCCCATTCAGAAAGAGCGAGATAAAACTCTAGACATTCTACTTCAGACGAGTCAGTAGAGACAAAGATAAACAAGCTCATCAAGATGTTTGTAGATGGACAGACACATATCCGTTCTCGATTATCAAAGATTGAATAAAAGCTGGAAATATATGATCCTTCAGATTTCATTGATGAGGTATTGAAAAAAATATATATGTTTATTAGAGCTTCTTTTTTAATAAATTTTCTAACAGCAAATTGTTATTGGTTTCTCGTTGAAGGAGCTTATTCCTGTGGACGTATTAACTGGTTGAAACGCAACTGGTTCGCAACGAAGTGATTTGCCAAATCAGGTATGGATTTGTTAGCCAAACGAGATATTGGATTATACCTAGGAAAATGAAAAGTAGA